TCAGAAAGGGGGGAAAATCCTCTGGAGGGCAAGTCATTAAAAGATTCTGCAGATAGACCATTTGAGACACTTTTAAAGGCTGTCTTTGCTTTTGCTGGCCCACTCCTGCAGCCAGCTCTCGCTGCAATTTCAGTATGCCAAACTGACATTAACTGGACTAGGGTAATGAACAACCAAAATGAGCCTGTTTTTCAGGATTAAACAGATTAATTACAGTAATTACCTTCAGCTCTGCTTTTTGTGTGGATGCACTAGAACAAGGCATGAGACAAATTTCCAGATTGGTTCTAATCTCCTTTCACATGCACAGAACCTTTTGGCTTAAAACCTGGACAACTGAAGCTGTCGGTATAAAGCACCTTGCACGTGGGCCTTTTTGAAGGCAGATGTCTGTTTGGAGAGGCAGTTGACCAATTAATCAAAGATGTCACAAGAAGAAAGGTTTTACTTCAACTTTTTTTATTGAAATTTTGAAATACAGGTTAATCATATATCATACATCAAGTCTGGTTCTTGTTGTATCTTGGCATTTCAACAATGTGTGATGTTTAAGAGGCTCAAAGGAGTCTCTTAATGATGTCAGTCAATAGATTGTTCACTATATTGTTTTGTTTGTTGGGAACCAGGGAAGAATGGAGTAGAGGTATGATGGAGGGGGAGAGGGAGTAACAACTGGGAGCAAAAACATTTAACAATTAACTGGAATACCAGTCAGTAGTGTTGTAAAGAGTTGTATCGTAGGATATATGCAATCAGAATTTTATTGTGCAATTGAGTTTAGAGACCATAAGGACCATTTTGTATGAAAATTAGTGTCGGTAGCTTGTAGTAGTGCGAATCTTCTCTCCATATCGCATTGTGTATTTAGATTGAGGATAACTTGGGAAATAGAGGGAGACTCTAAGGATTTCCAGAGTTTAGTAATGTTGTTTTTTGCTGCGTGAAGGATGTGGATGACGATAGTACGTGAGTTCAGTGAGGTAGTGTGTGTATTCCTATGTGGAGTAGGGCCAATGCTGGAGTAGGACTTATTTTTTGTCTTGTGATGTCAGATATCAGGTGGAAGATGTTGTTCCTGTAGGATCTGAGTGCTTTGCAATTCCACATTATGTGGAATAGGGATCCTTTTTCTCTGCACTGTCTCCAACATTGTGGGGTGCGAGAAAGATATATTTTGTTTAGTCTGTCGGGTTAGATACCAGTGGTGCAGGGTGGATAAAAATCATTGATTTTTTTTTTTTTTTAAAAATCAAAAAAATCCGATTTTTTTTTTTTTTTTTTTTTTTTTTTTTTTTTTTATTTAAATCGGATTTTTTTGAATAAAATGCTTTTTGAGGAAAATATATTAACATCCAAAGGTTATTCCATCATGAAATAAAGATTAGTTTTTTAATTATGTAGAATAAGGCTGTATATGTTTAATTTTTTTGGTAAATAAATTCCATTAATCCATTCACAATGTCATGCTCTTCCAGAGGTTTTTGTAAGATTATTGGGCAGTTTCTCTGCCTACAAGATATTATCACAGATGCTTGGTTTACTTTTGCAGTTCTCAAAACTGAATTTGACTCAGCGAAGATCACATGCCTCTTCTTCACAGCAAAAATGTTATAATATGAACAGAGTTAAGAAAAAGACCTTAATCCTAACTTCTACAAACCTATGAATACAGAATCAACCCCTTCAGTGCTAAGTTTCAAGAAGTTCAGTGAATAGAATAGAAACAATATTTTTCTGATTGTTTGGAGTGGAATAGATCTGCACAAGAAGAAAGTGAAACGAAGTGTGAGGAGGAAGGGCTGACAGTCTGTTTCTTAAAATATATATATTTTGTTTAGCCAAATTAGTTAACAAACATGGATGTTTGTTTAAGCAAATAACATATGCTGTAATGTTATTGTTTCAGTTGAATAAATCTAATTAAATTGTTATTATTAAGGTAATTATTTTTCTCCTTCCTAAGTACAACAGAAAAGTTGTCCAAATATGAATGATTAACCTATTTAAACTGGGGATAAAAAAACTAATATGAAAAGTTGTTATTCTAAAAATCTTCATCAACTTGCATATTAAAGTTATACCAGCAAGAATTAGTCTATGTAGAAAACTATGATTTAAATCAAGCCTTACTGACTAGTGATTTAAATCGTGATTTAAATCAGTTTGATTTAAATCAAATCCACCCTGCAGTGGTATAATAGTTTGAGGTATGATTCCCAGTGGGATGCACATCATGATGCTTTGTAGGTTAATTTGAATGTTTTATTCCAGATTTGGTCAGTTGGTGATTGGTTTAGTATAGTTTCCCAGTTGAGTAATGATGATGTTGTGGTTTTGAATTTGGATTCTGTGATGAGTGAGTAAAATAGGGATAGTCCCTTACCTGTATAGGTAGTTATGAATTGATATACAGTGATATGGAGTGGGAGATGTTTGTAGTTTTTAGGCAATGGGCTATTCTGTGGTAGGTAAAGTTTTCAATGGGGGGGAGTGAAAAATTTTTCTGAAGATGGTGGAAGGGGGGGCTAGGTCCTGTATTTGATATATGTCTGCTAGAGATATGATATTAGTGTTTACCCAGTTGTGGTGGTTGAGGTGTGGAATTAGGATGTTTAATATCCTGAGAGGGGTTTTAATTTTCTTGGGGTTTGGAAGTGATTGGTTAGTAATATGCATTAAGGCTTCTAGAGAAGCTCTAATACAAGGATGATCGGGGGAGTTATATTTGTGAGTTATTGTATTTAGTATGATGTGTGCTTGAGGTGTACCTGGTTGAAAAGTGTATCATTTCCGTAGAGGACCATGTTTTGTCTGTGGAGGGGTGCCACCAGTAGTATGATTGGTCTAGTAAAGTAGCTATGTAATAGGTGTGTAAATGTGGAAGGGCTGCTCCTCCTTTGCTGTAAGGTCGAATTAGTAGATTAGTGGTGCATCTAGGGCGATTTCAAACCCCTAAGAAATTTGAAAAATTGTTTTTGGATCATGTGGAAAAATGTTATAGGTACTGGGATTGGTAGGGTTCTAAAGATGTAGAGTATTTTGAGAGGAATAATCATTTTTAAGGATGCTATACGGCCTAGTTTGGAGAGACTATGGGTTCTTAATTGTTGGAGTTCTTTTGGTAGTGTTTGTGTTAGTGTTTTGTGATTCAAGTTGTGAAGGTGGGTCGTTGAGGGTGTTGGGTTAATACCTAGGTAGGGTATAGAATGCTTAGACCAGATGAAAGGGAATTTCTTAGGGTTTTTGTGTATGTTCTGGTGTGTGTAGGTTTAGTATTTTGAGATTTGTTAGCGTTGAGTTTATAATATATTTTGGTGTAGTCATTTAGTATATCCATCGTTCTATGTAGGGATTTAAAGGGATTTGTGAGCATATAAGATGTCATCGGCACATAAGCTTATTTTGTGTTCGGATTCTCTATATTTGATGCCTGTGAGATTTGGATCTGTGCGTATTTTAGAGACAAGTGGTTCGATTAGAACGGCAAATATAATAAGGGATACTGGGAATCCCTGTCTTGTGCCATTTGTAATATCAAACGGTTTTGATAAAATTCCATTGGATAGTGCTCTAGCTGATGGGGTGGAATACAGTGACATAATCGCTTTGTGTATCCAATCGGAGAAACCAAATTTTTGTAATGTTTGTTGCATATAGCCCCAGTGGATGCGATCAAAGGCTTTTTCTGCGTCTAATGAAAGGAGAAGTGAGGGAGTTTTTTGTGATTTTGCATTTCGTGTATAAGTGAAATTAGTCGTCTGGTGGCATCTGGGGCTTGTCGGCCTGGTATGAAGCCAACTTGGTCAGGATGGATTAGCGATGGCAGTATTGTGGTTATTCTAGAGGCTATAATTTTGCATATAATTTTATGTCGGTATAGATAAGAGATATTGGTCTATAATTTTGTACTTGTTGGGGGTCTTTTCCTGGTTTGGGGATGGTGGTTATGGTCGAAAGAAGCATTTCTTTTGGTATAGTGCCAGAGGAGGCAATGTTGTTAAATAAATTGGATAGGAATGGTGTGAGTTTATCTGCAAAGCTTTTGCAATATTTATTGGTAAATCCATCACTACCTGGGGATTTATTTAATTGTAGTATTTCGATGCCCAGAGAGATGGGATCTGAAATGGTTTGGAGTTGGTCTGATGTAAGCTTAGGAAGTTTGATGGATTGTAAAAGGGCTTGAATATGATCGTGTTGGCTAGGGTGTTTTTTGTCCTCTTTAAGATTGTATAGGGCAGTGATGGCGAACCTTTTTGAGCCCGAGTGCCCAAACTGCAACCCAAAACCAACTTATTTCTTTCAAAGTGCCAACACTGCAATGAAACCTGAATATCGAGCTTTTGGTTTAGAAAAAACAACTCGTACAGTAGTGCAAACTAATTAACAGTACAGGGATGACCAGAGACTGCGGACACAGTACAGGGATGACCAGAGACTGCGGACACAGTACAGGGATGACCAGAGACTGTGGACACAGTACAGGGATGACCAGAGACTGCGGACACAGTACAGGGATGACCAGAGACTGCGGGGACAGTACAGGGATGACCAGAGACTGCGGGGACAGTACAGGGATGACCAGAGACTGCGGGGACAGTACAGGGATGACCAGAGACTGCGGGGACAGTACAGGGATGACCAGAGACTTCGGACACAGTACAGGGATGACCAGAGACTGCGGACACAGTACAGGGATGACCAGAGACTGCGGACACAGTACAGGGATGCCCAGAGACTGCGGACACAGTACAGGGATGCCCAGAGACTGCGGACACAGTACAGGAGATGACCAGAGACTGCGGACACAGTACAGGGATGACCAGAGACTGCGGACACAGTACAGGAGATGACCAGAGACTGCGGACACAGTACAGGAGATGACCAGAGACTGCGGACACAGTACAGGAGATGACCAGAGACTGCGGACACAGTACAGGAGATGACCAGAGACTGCGGACACAGTACAGGAGATGACCAGAGACTGCGGACACAGTACAGGAGATGACCAGAGACTGCGGACACAGTACAGGAGATGACCAGAGACTGCGGACACAGTACAGGAGATGACCAGAGACTGCGGACACAGTACAGGAGATGACCAGAGACTGCGGACACAGTACAGGAGATGACCAGAGACTGCGGACACAGTACAGGAGATGACCAGAGACTGCGGACACAGTACAGGAGATGACCAGAGACTGCGGACACAGTACAGGAGATGACCAGAGACTGCGGACAGTACAGGGATGACCAGAGACTGCGGACACAGTACAGGGATGACCAGAGACTGCGGACACAGTACAGGGATGACCAGAGACTGCGGACACAGTACAGGGGATGACCAGAGACTGCGGACAGTACAGGGGATGACCAGAGACTGCGGACACAGCACAGGGATGACCAGAGACTGCGGACAGTACAGGAGATGACCAGAGACTGCGGACAGTGGGGATGACCAGAGACTGCGGACAGTACAGGGGATGACCAGAGACTGCGGACAGTACAGGGGATGACCAGAGACTGCGGACAGTACAGGGGATGACCAGAGACTGCGGACAGTACAGGGGATGACCAGAGACTGCGGACACAGCACAGGGATGACCAGAGACTGCGGACACAGCACAGGGATGACCAGAGACTGCGGACAGCACAGGGATGACCAGAGACTGCGGACAGCACAGGGATGACCAGAGACTGCGGACAACACAGGGATGACTGCTGACCTTTGGGGAGGGGGGGGGGGGAGCGGGTACCTGAATTTGACAGGTACCCGCTCTTTACTTCCGCAGAGTTTTTTTTTTTTTATCTTACCTGTTCCTTTATCCAGCCGCGCGTTGTCTTCCCGGCTTCTGTAGTGTGGGCGCTCGTCGGACAGCCGGATGCCCAGTGCGCATGCGCGAGAAGCGCTGCGCTTTGTGATGGGTCCGGCGGCTTCTGGGACCGGTACCGCCTTACCATTCACAAAGAGCACTGCTTCTTGTGCATGCGCACTTGGGACCCGGCTGTCACGCACACTACAGCCGGGAAGACAGCGCGCCGCTGGATTCTCCTGGCGTTCCCACAGATAAGGCTCGGCGTGCCGGCTGTGGCACGCGTGCCACGGGTTTGCCATCACTGGTATAGGGTCTTGTAATAGTCTGCAAATGCGTTGGCTATGTCTAGAGGGTTAGATACTAAAGTTTGGGAATTTGGATTGTGGACTGCTGGTATTTTATGTTTGAGTCGTTGTTGTTTTGCTAATAGGGAGGGTGCTTTATTGTTCAATTAATAAAATTTTTCTTTTGTTAGCAAGTTTTGTTCGTATTGGTGTAGTAGTAGTAGTAGTAGTAGTAGTAGGGACCTGAGTTTTTTTTCCCCTTTTTTTTATAATGTGGCTGTGTTGTGTAAGGATGGGTTCTTAGTATTTTCTAGATTTGCTATAGATGTGAGGAGTTCTCCTACGGGTATTCATTCGTGAGTTGATTTGTATAAGTATGCCTCTCATATAGGCCTTGTATGTTGCCCATAGTGTAGTGATTGGCATGCCGGGTGTGTCATTAGTGGTGAAAAATAGATTGTGTGCCTCCAAGATGGTTTTTCTATGTAGTGGGTCTTTTAGGATTATGGGATTTGATCTCCATGGTTTATTATTAGGTAGTTTGTTTGGTGTTTCTAGTGTTTAGTGATGGGTGCGTGGTCTGACCACGAGATTGTACCTGTTGAGGAAGTCAATATATGTTGTAGAGTCCACTTGTCAGTTAGGAAAAAGTCTATTCTGGAGTATGATGCTTTGGCTGGTGAGTAGTATGAATAGTCCTTTTCGGATCCGTGTTGGCATCTCCATATATCGTATAATTCATTGTTGTGTAGAGTTTGGTTCAAGCTGTGGTTTTGAAGTCTTTTCCCGGATGATGAGTCTAGATGTGGGTTGCCTATTCTGTTGAATTCTCCTCCCATAATCAGTTGGCCTTGTTTCATTAGTTGTTTAAAGAATTTGAGTTGTTTGGAGTTTGGTCTGTAGGCGTTGAGAAGGGTAAAGGGTGTGTTGTTGATGAGACCTACTAAGATTTGGAAGCGACCTTATGGGTCAGAATATTTGGAGTTGAGTTAGAAAGAAATTGAGTCTTTGATGGCCGTTAGTACTTAATTGGGTTTTTTGTGATGGGAGGCCAGGAATCTTGTAGAGAAGTTCTTAAATTTGAAGGATGGTGTTTTGGTTGCATCAAAGTGAGTCTCTTAGATAAAGATGATGTCTGCGTGTTGTAATTGTATTTCGCTCTGTAGAAGTGATCTTTTGAAGGGTTAGTTAAGTCCTCTGATGTTAATAGATAAGATTTTAATCGTGTTTTGGGATTTCTGCGTGGAGGGTTTGATTTGGAGAGCTTTTAAATAGAAATTGTAGACATTGTTGTTTGATGTTTTGGCTGTGGGTCCGGGGGTATCTGGGGTTTTCCAGTGTAGATTGAGGTTTGGGTTGATATAGATATTTTGTGTATTGTATTTGATGTGGTAGGCACTGGTAGAAACTAGGGGATAACTGAAGAAGGAAAAGAGAACTTTGTGGTAAGAAAGGCTTGCCAAAAATGCAAGCAGCTTGGGTAGCCTGTAAAGCTAATGTCATTCGGGCGCAGTAATTTTGTGCATGTATATTCCGGATAGTGTCCAGAAAAGTTTGGTAGTTCAAGTGAGTCAGAGTATTACGAAGCGTTTATTGGTACCGTGAGTAGGAATGTGGTGGGAGACCGGTATTTTTCTTTTGTGGTTTATGACCAGTCATCTTCCATGTGATTGGATTGTTGCTTGGTGTTGCGGTGGTCGTCTTCAGGAATTATATGCCAATCTTTAAGGAGATTGATACCGTCGTCTATATTGTAAGTTACGTGGGTTTTGCTTTGATGTTTGATAAAGAGCTTGGTGGGGAAACCCCGTTGGTAGTTGATGTTGTGACTTCTGAGTGCCTTCTTTATGGGAATCAGCTTTTTCCTGTTTAGGAGCGTTTCTTTGGATAAGTCTGCGTATAGTTTTATCCCTGTGTTTGGGGGAGGGAAGGTTGCGGAATTTCTTGTCGCCGCCATTAGTTTTTCTTTAATGTGATAAGTGTATTCTTGCAAGGACATCTCTTGGTATTGATGTTGGTAAAAATGCTGGTTTTAGAATTCTGTCTATTGCAGTTTTTCGATTGGATTGATAGATGGTATTAGTTGTTTTATCAGCTGTTGGAGATATGCGGGTAGTGCGTCAGGGGTGATTGTTTCTGGTATGCCGCGTATTTTTACGCTCTTTCTTGAGCGGCCTTCTAGATCCGCTATCTTGTTTATGTAGTTGTATGAGTTCAGATTCTCGGTCTGTATTATGGGCCACGATCATATCTGCCATTTTGTTCTTAATGTGTAGTATGCGTTTTGCGTGGTCGTGGAAGGCCTTGGAAATGGGAGTCATCACATTATTAATATCGTTATGCAGTGTCTGAGGGATAGAAGCATGTTTTTCGTTGTAACTTCTGACACTGGCTGATCTGAGGTAGGGAATTCCTCAATAGCTGATTGTAGTTGTTGTGTAGGAGTATATTGAGTAGAAGATGAGGCCTGTGTATCAGGGAATGATGGTCCCTCTATCCTGGGCCTCGATTTAGCAGGGCTCCTTGTTGTGGGTGACGGAAGGTGATGACTCACCTGGTCTCCCTCATATAATGTAGTAAGTAGCCTTTGGTCCGGAGTGTAATCAGTTCCCTCTGGGGACTGAGCAGGCCGTCAGTTTTGTAAGGGACCAACGCCATCTTGGGTCCTGACATCTCGGGCCGGATAGAAATCTGTCAGCCTTTGAGACTGTGTAGGCGCCTTTTTCCTCCGTGGCATTGTTCCCATATGTGAGTGGAAGGCGTCCTGCTTGTGTGGGAGGTCTGGGTCCCTTATGCCGGTCTGTTGCCGCTTAGGTACCGCAGAGCGGCTCTAGATCGCGGCCATCTTGGCTGCCGGCTGTGCATGCGCTCCAAGAGGAAGGAAGGTTTTAATTCCACAGTGGAGGATCACAAAACAGCCTCCTCAGGAGCCTCTATCATGCTTCAACTTGAAACCTAAGTTTAGCTCTTCTTAGATCAGAAAGCCCAGCAAGTTTTCCCCAACGTACTTTTCCCAATGAAGGGGTGTCCTCACACTTAAGACTGGGGAACGTCTGTTACAGTTTGCCCCTCTCTGGGTCAAAAATGTCCCAGACCTGTGGGTTAATTGGTTTCAGCGGGGTACAAAATAAAGTTCAAAGCTTTACCCCCTCTCATTTTCTTCTCTCAGATCAACCAAAAACTGCTCAAAGACAGTCATATTTGAAAAATGCCCTAACACATTTCTTGTCCAAGGGAGATTTGCGAATACCACCAAATAGACAAACTCTGTGGATTTTTTTCAAAACTTTTCTTGGTATCCAAGCAAAACAAGGGTAATTCTTCCTCCTCTAGATTGTACGCTCCACGAGCAGGGCCCTCCTATTCCTTCTGTACTGAAATGTATTGTAATTGTACTATCTCTCTTATATTGTAAAGCACTGCGCAAACTGTTGGTGCTATATAAATCCTGTATTATAGTAATAATAATAATAATAATGTGGACTTGAACTCCCTCAACAAATGTCTTCATATTCACAAATTTTGCATGGAATTTACGAAGTCAGTAATTATCTATGGACAAGGGGAATACATGACATTCGTAGACATTCAAAATGATTGTCTGCATGTTCCCATTTATCCACCTCATCAGCGCTTTTTGTGTTAATCTGTGGCAGACCATCACTACCAGTTTGTCGCACTGCCCATTGGCCCTATCCTCTGTGCCCAGGGTATTCATCCCAAAGATCTTGGTACCTCTTCTTACACTCCTCAGAATTCAGGGCATTCAGGTCACAGGCTATCTAGACTACCTTCTTCTGAATAACTCATCTCCTCTCCTAGATTGTAAGCTGTAATGAGCAGAGCCCTCTGTTTCCTCTTGTACCAAATTGTATTGTAACTGTAATGTCTACCTTAATTTTGTAAAGCGCTGCACAAACTGTTGGCGCTATATAAATCCTGTATAAGTAGTAATGATAATAATAATATCCAGCTAATGTCAGTAAATGTCCACAGGGTGATTTTAGATGCTCCAGGCTTTTGGTTGGGTGCGTAAGAAATCCACTCTCCAGTCTGCTCTCCACCTGAAATACCTCGGTCTGGTTCTGGACACATCCCAAGCAAAGGTTTTCCTTCCAGAAAAGTACATTCTTTTTGTCAGAGCCCAAGCTCAGGAATTGAGATAAGAGACAGCACACAATGAGATTCTCTATAAAAGTTTTCTTGTAAATCTCTTTTGAGGCTGTACCATTTGCCCAATTTGCCTACGAAGTCTCCAACACATCCTTTTTGACCGGAAACAAGCATGCTCCTTCTCTTGACCTACCCATGCTCCTGTTCAGCTAAGCAAGGAACTTTGTGGATTTTAAGCCAGCCTTAAGATTAGGGTGGTCCTTCCCTATCACAACAGCCGCCAGTCTTGCAAGCTGGAGAGGACGTTCCATTCCCGGAAACCTGTGGAAGTCAAGTTCCCAATCAATATCCTAGAACCTCAGAGCAGTTTGGATGTCTCTGCAGCACTGGATCTGCCTTTTGAGAGAGCGCCCAGTCAGGGTACAGTCACACAATGCCATGGCTGTATTCAACCACCAAGTGGACACCAGGAGTCTGGCAGCCTTGAAAGAGACAATCACATAATCTAATGGTTGGAAACTTACTGTCCAGCATTATACGCAGTCCAATGGCCCTGTGTGAATAGGCCCTTTACCCAGACATTTTCAAACAGACATGTCAGGGGATAATATGTGGAGAGAAAAAAAGAAAGAGATGCCTTCTAAGTGCAGTGTATTACAGTTCAATAAGCCACAAATGGTAAAAAACTCAAAATATTGAAGGGATTTAAAAGCCCATCAATGAAGAAAATCTCTGGGGCCATCATCCGTGTCCTGCAGTGATCCGTCCAATTTGGATGATGACTGCCGTAGGTGGTAAGGAAGGCCCCAGAGCGCTGTGGATGGTGAGTCTCAGAACACTGCCGCCGGAACCGGAAGTATCTGTGACCAGCGTGAACCGCAAGCCGGGTGGATGTGACGTCACACAGGAGGAAGGTCGGCAACCAGAGAGAGAGACAACAAGGCTATGCGCTCAGAGCTAACTGCTCCTTCTACAGGCCTGTAGAAGAGATTTTCTTCATTGATGGGCTTTTAAATCACTTCAATATTGTGCATTTTTTTCCCATTTGTGGCTTATTAACCGCCTCCTGCCCGCCATATAAGGGAAATTACGGGCGCAAGGTGGTTCTCCCGTTCTGGGAGGACATCATATGACGTCCTCCCACTCTAACCGCGCGGATCAACGGAAAGAGCCGAAGACATCGGCTCAGTCATGATCAGCTGTGTCCAGTCACAGCTGATCGCATGTAAATAAGGAAATGCCGGTTCTCTACATTTCTCTCACGAGCTGCATTACTCGGAGGGAACATGTACACTGATCATCAGGGCACTGATGATCAGTGTGCCCTGATAAGTGTAGCCTCAGCAGTGCCACCTGTCAGTGTCCATCAATGCCACCTGCCAGTGCCCATCAGTGCCACATATCAGTGCCCATCTGAGCTGCCTTTCAGTGCCACCTATCAGTGCTGCCAGTCAATGCCACCTGTCAGTGCTATATGAGTGCTGCCTTTCAGTGGCCATCAGTGATGCCTGTCAATTCCCATCAGTGCCACCTACCAGTGCCTCCTCATCAGTGCCACCTATCAGTCCCCATCACTGCAGCCTCATTAGTGCACATCAGTGAAGGAGAAAAATCACTTATTTACAACATTTTATAACAAAAAAAGAAGAAAAGTTTTGGGGTTTTTTTTTCAAAATTTTCAGTTTTTGGTTTGTTTAGCAAAAAATAAAAAACCCAGAGGTGATTAAATACTACCAAAAGAAAGCTCTATCTGTCTCAAAAATTATAAAAATGTCATACGAGTACAGAGTTGCATGACCGTGCAATTGTCATTCAAAGTGTGGCTGCGCTGAAAGCTGAAAATTGGCCTGGGCAGGAAGGGGGTATAATTGCCCTTTAGGCAAGTGGTTAAACTGTAATACACTGCACTTAGAAGGCGCCTCTCTCCTTTTTTCTCTCCACATATTATGCTCATACTGTAGAGTTGGCTTACTCTGGGATGACTGCCACCTAAGCGGTTACACAGCTACGGATTTTATTGGACTTATGGACTTTCTGTACATTTGTTCTATATACCGTATTTTTCGCTCCATAAGATGCACTTTTTTTCCCCCCAAAAAAAGGGGGGAAAATGTCAGTGCGTCTTATGGAGCGAATATAAAGCGGCCGGTCCAGTATTTCTGCCGCCACCATGTCAGAATATCGGGCCGGCTGCTCAGCTCTTCTCTCCTGCATGACCTTACCTGTTCTTTGCTCCAGCGCTGTACAGTCTTCCCGCGCCGCTTCTGTGACTGCCGGGTGCCCACTGCGCGAGAAGCGCTGCGCTTTGTGAATTGTCCGGTGTTTTCTGGGACACATGACAGGTCTCAGAAGGCGCCAGGCCATTCACAAAACGCAGCACTTCTCGCGCATGCGCAGTGGGCACCCGGCTGTCACAGAAGCCAGCGCAAGAAGAATAGGGAAGGACAACTCCGCGGAAGTGGGAGCGGGTACCTGTCAAATTCAGGTACCCGCTCCCCCTCCCTCCCCAAAGGTCCGCAGTCTCTGGTCATCTTCTTTACTGTCTGCAGTCTCTTGTCATCCCCTGCACTGTCTGCAGTCTCTGCATCTGTACTATGTCCCTGGTATTTTCCCTGTACTATGTCCGCAGTCTCTGGTCATCCCCTGTACTGTGTCCGCAGTCTCTGGTCATCCCCTGTACTGTGTCCGCAGTCTCTGGTCATCCCCTGTACTGTGTCCGCAGTCTCTGGTCATCCCCTGTACTGTGTCCGCAGTCTCTGGTCATCCCTTGTACTGTGTCCGCAGTCTCTGGTCATCCCCTGTACTGTGTCCGCAGTCTCTGGTCATCCCCTGTATTGTGTCCGCAGTCTCTGGTCAGAAAGGGGAGACTTTGAATGTAGACATCTTAGCCTCTGGAATGAACAAAACAATATCTGTTTGCAGCCAGGACTAAGAATCCTCTCTAGTGCTAGCCTTGTATGCCTTTTTAATTACCTGGTCTCAGTTTAGGTTAAACTGCACCTTCCCTCAAATGTGAATTTTATAAGTATGAATAACACCTGCACTGCACAAATATATAAATCACACATTTTCAGTGTGCCACAGACTAAACACTTAAATGTGCAAATGTGTAAAAATAAAATGTAAGAAAGGCGCATACTAAGTGTAAATATTAAACACACACAAAAATAATAAAAATAACGTGTGGTGCTGCCTCCCTTTTAAAAATCAATTTAAATCAAATCAGTGTCTGATAAAAATATCAAATAAACAGACATTAGGTGGTACTGCAAATCCTCATACCTCCAATATAAATACAATATGAATACATATACATATAGGAGGTGGGGTTGGTCTACTTCTGTCACCACTAAGCACCTTTCAAGTCCTCCCTAACCCTCCCTCTCTATCCTTCTCTTCTTTTGAGACCCACTGCATCCAGCTATTCTCTCCAATCTCCCTGAGGATTGCAGTGATCTACTGGCCTCCTGGCCCTGTGTCCCGTTTTCTCGACGACTTCGCCGCCTGGCTACCCTACTTTCTCTCCTCCGAGCTACCCACTATCATCCTCAGAGACTTCAACATCCCTATTAACGTCAATAACCAGGCTACATCCCAACTCCTCCACTTAACCTCTTCTTTTGAACTAGCGCAGTGTATTCAGTCCTCCACTCATTCCGACGGGAATACCTTAGACCTTGTCTTCTCTCACCACTGTACTCCCTATAACCTCTCAAACACCCCATTTCCCCTCTCTGATCACGATCTCATCACCTTTACAGTCTCCTCGTCCTCCAACACCTACCCCACTAAACTGCAGACAATTTCCAGCAGAAATCTCCGAAACCTAAACCCGGTTCCTTTCCACTCTGCAACTGACCAGCTTTATGACCGCATCAACCCCCTGTCCTGCCCCAACCTGGCCACCACTGTCTACAACAACTCTCTCTCATCCGCTCTAGACTCGCCTGCTCCCTTAACAACACCAAGCATCAGGCCCTGACCTTGGCAGACTGACCACGCCTGAAATCTCAAACGACACAGTCGCGCGCTGGAGCGATTATGGCGTAAAACCAAATCCCACCAAGCGTTCACCCGTTTATAAATCTGCCTTCCTAAAATACACTTCCTCCCTTCACGCTGCCAAGCAAGCTTACTTTGTCACCCTCATTGATACCTTCTCTTCGAGTCCTCGTTGGCTCTTCTCTACCTTTAACTCTCTACTTTCTCCACCCCCACTGCCACCCAGCGCCTCAATCACTGCCCACGAGATTGCACACCACTTCCAAAACAAGATTGACGCAATTCGTAGGGACATCGCCACTACACAGACACCCACCTCACTTAGCATCCCTCACACCATACCTCCCTCAACACTGTCCTCCTTTGACCCGCTACCAGCGAAGAGGTCATAAAGGTCTTCTCAGTAGCCCGCCTCACCACCTTCCCCCTGGACCCTGTCCCCTCACAACTCCTTTGGTCACCCTCCTCTTCCATCCTATGCTCCCTCAGTCACATCTTCATTCTCTCCCTCTCTATAGGTACATTCCCCTCCCCTCTGAAGCACACGCGCGCACATCACTCCCATACTTAAGAAACCCTCCCTAGACCCCACCAACCTGAACAACCTTAGACCCATCTCCCTGCTCCCATTTACCTCTCAAACTCCTAGAACTCTTAGTCTACAATTATCTGAGCTCCCACCTCACTGTCAACAACCTTTTCGACCCCTACAGACTGGCTTTCGCCCCCTACACTGCACCAAAACTGCCCTACTAAAGCTCTCTAATGACCTACTAACTGCAAAAACCAACGGCCACTATTCAATACTCCTACTACTTGACCTGTCCTCGGCTTTTGACATGGTTGACCATCCCCTCCTCCTCAAAAAACTACACTCTTTGGGCCTCAGCGACTCCGCTCTCTCCTGGTTCTCCAATCTATCACAGCGCTCCTTCAGTGTTACCTATAACGCTGCCACCTCTTCCTCACTCCCTCTCTCTGTAGGGGTCCCCCAAAGTTCTGTCCTTTGACCCCTTCTCTTCTCCATCTACACCTCCTCCCTTGGTCACTTGATAAACTCCCACGGCTTCAACTACTATCTCTATGCTGATGACACGCAAATCTATCTGTCTACCCCTCACCTCACCCCACCAGTTTCCACCCGTATCGCTAGCCTACTAAGTGACATATCGGCCTGGATGGCACTCCACTTCCTCAAACTCAACCTCTCCAAAACTGAACCCCTAGTATTCCTCCCTGTCTGCGCTACCCCCCCACTGACTTCACCATAACTATCGCTAACACCATTCTCAGTCCATCCCCTCACGCCAGGGTACTAGGGGTAATCCTAGACTCCCATCTGTCCTTCCAGCCCCAGACCCAATCGCTGACAAAATCATGTAGACTTCACCTCCGCAACATCTCCAAGATACGACCGTTCCTAACCCCAGAAACCATTAAGCAACTCATTCACTCCCTTGTCATATCACGCCTCGACTACTGTAACTCCCTCCTCATTGGCCTACCTCATTGTAGACTATCCCCCCTTCAGTCTATCATGAACGCTGCTGCCAGACTCATCCACCTCTCTAACCGTTCCGTATCCGCCACCCCTCTCTGCCAGTCCCTCCACTGGCTCCCAGTTGCCCAACGGATAAAATTCAAAACTCTGACTATGACATATAAAGCCATCCACAACACTGCCCCAACTTACATAACCGATCTTATCTCTAAATATCACCCAAACTGTACGCTCCGCTCCTCACAAGACCTCTTACTCTCTAGCTCCCTTATCTCCTCCTCCCATGCTCATCTCCAAGACTTCTCCAGGGCGTCACCCATCCTCTGGAACTCCCTACCCCAATCTATCAGATTATCACCTATTCTACTTGCCTTTTGGCGTTCACTGAAAACCTTTCTCTTCAAGAAAGCCTATCCCACCCTCTGCTAACTCTGGTATCCTCTACTCTTCCAACCACTCCATCCCCCACAGTGACTACTTACTGTACCCCTCACCCTGCCCTCCTAGATTGTAAGCTCCAAGGAGCAGGGCCCTCTAATCCCTCTTGTATTGTTACTGTATTGTCTCCCACTTTAATGTAAAGCGCTGAGAGCAAACCGTTGGCACTATATAAATCCTGTATAATAATAATATACAATTGAATCAAACTATATCCAATTACCAACCTTTTGTAAGAAAGTTTAAAAAGTAGAAACAAATGAAAGTCCAAAAAAATCTTCCAAAACAGTGTGTATTATGAATCACCAATAGTGTCCACATGCATTCAGATAATTTCCTTCTTAATGCAGTGCTCATGACCACCACTCCCCTCAGTGTGAATTCAGTGACTCACCAAAACTCATTGCTTCACATCTATGATGATCGGCATTCGGAGCTAAAATGGTTAATGACACATCCACACATCTCATGGTTTTCTTGCTCCAGAAAGAAAGATCTTGTTAAACATTCACCTTCTGCCCATCACCCATGAAAATGTAAGGCTTGCAGTACCTTTTACACCTTCAGAGTTGTTATTAAAACTATAAAATACTCACAAACATATTAAAAAGCATTACCTTCCGGAAATTTCCAAGT